AATTTTACTGATCTATAAGTGGTAAAGGAAGGTACACAAATCCTGAGGGAACAGTGGGTGAATTCACACAAGGTGCATGATACATCATATAGCCAGCATAGAGGTGGAGAGCACAGTGAGAAAGCAGAGCCCAGATGTGTCCCCACTCTGTTCAGTCTTTACTTGTTCCCAAGGTCACACCAGAAAATCACACACAGCTTCACATCCCATGCAAAGGGATCCTTGGCAATGTGTCCTTTGTGTCTTCCCTCTCCTGCTTGATGTTAGACATAGTAGGGTGATTTAATTCTAAACATACATTGAAGGGTTATCACATGCTTAACTTCAGGCCAGACATTGGTAAGGAATACAAAGAAATTGAAGGACACAATTCTGACCTTGGGAAGCAAAGACCCCCGTGTACACACACGACTATTAATGGTTTATTGTGAAGCACCTGGCAGGTTAGTGGAGCATGCTCCTAGATGTATCTGAGGAGGTCATGAAATCAGGACCTTGGGCACTACAAAGGGTCCCTGACCACTTTCTCCCTCATGCTGTTGCCTTGCTGTTCTTCCTGAGAAGCCTAAACTGAGCAGCTCTTATCCACCAGACCCTTTTGGCACGGCATGATCTTTCTCCTCTGGAGCTCGTGGGTCACGGAACCCATCTCCTGCGACTGTGGACACAATGAAACCTCTCCTCTTTTAAGTTGTAGGTGTCTGGAGTCGTGACCTAGCACTAAAAAAATATGACTAGCACAACATATATTGCTAGAAACAAATTCAGCTCTTCTTTATATCAGTTCATCAAGCTTGGACTCAACCCACTAGGGCTCCGTGGGATGGCACTTGGGCATCCCCAGTCTGTTGGAAGGAGGATAGGATTTTATAATTTGGTAGCACATGGCAGGAGGGCCTGGGCTATCACTGGAAGAGGTGTGGTGACCATTCTACAAGCAAGAAATCCTGCTAAAGTCTTGAACCCCATGTTAGCATGATTGTTTTCAACATGCTTCTTAGGGATCACTCTAGGGCCCCCCCAATCTGTGCACTTCTCAGGCATTTGAATAGACCCATTTTAAGGTCACAAGGTATGTGCCATGTGGGAAGGATGCAAAAAGGAAAGCTTTCTATTAACAGGACTGAATTCCTACCACATGCTGGGCTTCGGGGTCCTGGGCTGTGGAAAAGGGCTGGGCGGTGGCTATGCAGCTCCTTATGTGCGGAAGAGGCCGCCTCTGGAAGGGCTGGGACCGGCTGAGGAGCACTGACAGAAGCACAGGAAGAAAAGCTCCTGGGGGAGGGATGCCAGGGTCTGGATGCTGCATGCAAATAAATTTAGAAACAACCAGCGGAGGAGATGCAGTCACCCTTTCCCTGCCTTCCTGTCTGTCTCTCTGCCCCAGATACCAGGTCACTGTCAAGCTTCCTGAGCTGGGCTGGTAACAGAGAGGCCCTTGGCGATCCTGCTAGACCAGGAGAGAGCAATGCAATGACACTGAGCCCATTGGATTCAGAAAGCTTTGGTGGAGAAGGGTGGATTTGAGGTTCTGAAAGCTGGGCGAGTGTTTAAGACCTACAAGGGGAAACCTGTTGGAGCCATGAAAGCGGTCAGTGATCACAGCCTGCTGCCCTACGCTGAGCAGGAGTTCCTGAACTTTCATGTTCTAT